ATCCAAATCCAACGCTCACACCTTCTCATGCTCAGCCAATCGCTCATCTGCCGCCTTAAGAGCCTCACGCAGTACCTGCTCATTCCGCGGCTTGAAGAGAATCTGATAAGGCCGGCACATGGTCACCAGACTGGTAGGATCTGAGCTGCCTCGGACAGGATGCACGTCCACCTCCGACTCCTGCACAAGCTCAAAGCTGTTCAGCATGCGTAGGAAGACGAGATATAGCTCGCGATTGGCCAACAGTGAGCCCGCGCACATTCTATACCCTAACCCGTATGTGTGCAGAGGAGCATCGGGCTGCTCCAACCAACGCTCTGGGCGGAACTCGTCTGGGTCGCTCCAGACTTCGGGATCTGTGTTGTAGTCAGTATCGCCTTCCTTGGCAAATGGGCGAGAGTGAGAATAGCTTACCCATGTTGCACGCCCATGCGTTCAGATATATCGTGCTGCCAGCTGGGATAAGCTTGCCCTCATACATGACATCCTTGATTGTTGCACGCGGCAGCGCCAAACGTAGTACGGTATAGTAGCGCAGACACTCTCTGACCAGTGCGACGATGTATCCGCACTTCTGGTCATCATACGCATCTGCCAAAGGTTCGTCCTCCGAGTACAACTTTCGGATCTCCTGGATAGCCTTCTCTTGAATATCCGGTCTCTGAGCCAGCAACGCGACACTCCATTGTACAAGGGTCGTGATTGTGTCTAGCCCGCCAGACAACATTGTCAAACTGATGGACGTCAACTCCTCCTTGTTCAATGCGGCTTCCTTGTCCTGGATGATGTTGGCCTGGATACATGTCTTGTGGGTACCTTTCTCCATCCGTTCGTCCAATTCGCGGTTCAACTTCGTCAGGTACACGTCCCTTCGGCGCCGGTGCTCTTTCGCAGACTTAGTGCCAGAGCTGAACGGGTTCAATCTCAGCAGCGGAATGTAGTCTTGCAAGTTTCCAGTCGTACTGCGGAACTTCGAGATGGCAGCTTCAACCTCGCATATCTCATGGAACATGGGGTCGTGACGACTGCTCATCCGCGTTCCCCAATTGAGAGTCAATGCAAGAGATAGAGAGAGGCGCTCGATCATGGGCATGGGATTTACCCCAACGGTGCCGGCTTGTCCTGACTCGAATCCGTCTTTTACAAACTCCTTCGTTTCAAGATCTAGGTGGTCGATGTATGTCGCAATCGACGGCTTGTTAAGCGCGGCAGCAGCGCCCTTTCTCCTCCGCTTGAGCGAGTCATTGAAGGGCGAAGTACCGATTGTCGTACCAGCAGTGTTTGAAAGTACCTAATCTCAATCAGAGTCATGTCAACACGCCCATATCTCTCCGCTTACCTTGTGGAACGTCCAGAAAACGGGTCTTGAACTGAGCGCCTGGCTATTTCCACCAAAGATCTTCCTTGCAGCCTCGGCGCTGTTCACTACAATCACCGGCTCGTTGCCAAGTTGAATCTGGTACACGGCGCCAAACGTTCTGCTCCATTCTCGGTACTTCTCTGCCGCGTTGTACTTGATATCTGGGATATTACCAACCAAGGGCCAGTTTGTGGGCCCCGTAAAGCCTTTGATCCGCCGCGAGTATCGCACATATTCGTTTCCGACAAGGTAAAATAAAGGAATAAGTATCAACAAGACGAACAGAGTGCGAATTGGATGGTCTGCAAACTGCGATGATAGCAGTGGAAGAATAGTGGAGATCATGGTGTTCGCTAGTGGCTCCTTGCAGCGCTTACCGAAACCAACAGGATGGTCAGAGGTTGGTGATGGGCCACGACACGATAGTATGCTTTTACTAGCAAGAGCCGGACATTCTATATATCTACCGTTCTTACTTTATGGCGGCTTCCCCGGGCTTGATGTGGGCGAGGCCGGCTAATGCGGGGAAGAAGGTCCGCTGTTGGGGCCGCGGAATTAGGCGACGGGGAGTGCGGAACTAGAGCGCGGAGGCAGCATTACGCTAGCCATTGTCGGTTGCTCTCAACATTTTCGAGGACAGGTTGAAGTTGCCGCTTTCGTAATCCAGAACGAACGTTATGTTTTCGAGCACTCAACGTGCCATGTTGGTCTAATCACCGCTGTCTGCACCCACTCTTCGCCTAAGTACCACTTCCCACATCTCCGCCTCTCGTTGTCGCATCACACCCATGACATCCTCATAGTTATCCTAGAGCAACTGTTTCAGAGCAAGCTGCTGTCATGGATCACTCGACTCATAGATTGATATAGCTGGGTTGCCTTACGGCACACTCGGCTCAACGTCAGTGCACCGCGATGCCGTTGCCGTGTATTACTTAATACGGTCATCTCATGGGCTTCACGGACTCACCAACACGACGATCCAACACCGCTGTAACTCCTGACTCAAAGGCATGCCGTGTAGTTATCTGGGTAAGTACCTTGCGAGAGTCTCATCTCTGGTACCCGGGATGCGACTCGCGAACGGGAACGCACGTGGATGTGTGGGTATCGTAATGAGTCCTCTTACAATGTTGGTGCATCGTCTACTCATCTGTTGCTCGTGTTTTGGAGTCATACACAAGAAAGCGCAAGTATAAATTGCTGTAGGTATTCGCGAATTTCTCTGCTGTTATCATTCACTGCAAACACTCTGGATACTATTGCAATCCTCCAAATATTTCCGACATACCAGAACCTCCATCATGCCCGAAAACGAACACACATGGCACACAGGCCCCCCAGCAGAGCCACCTTCCATCGGTATACAAGGTGAGGTCGCACATAACGAGCTCGCAGAATGGCTCAATATCAAAGACCGTCGGGTTCCCGATCCAAGCGACATTGGAACACTTGGAACATTTCACTTGTTCCAATTTGCAAGCAATGGACTCATTAACGTGTCACTAGGTGCCGTTAAGTCGGGGTTTGGATATTTGACTGATACCAACAAGGAAACGTATCTCACGCAGTCCATCAATCGCAAGTAGACTATTTCATAGTATCAGCTTAAGGATTCTAAGCGTAAGGCTTTGGGTCAAGAATGCGGACGTCATCACTCTGATCACTATGGTGGAGGGTATGACGAGGGCAAGGGAATGAGTGTAGCATGTAAGTGTGCTGGCTGAACAGGATTGGGTCGACAAAACTGATCTGGTTCTAACTGTGACATAGTGATACTAGCATTCCTCGGACCTGAACCTCACTTTCGCTATGACATTGAGAGAGTGCCTTCGACGCTGCATAAACTCAATTCAGCTTACCCGACGACAGACCCTATCGCCCGTAAATTCCGTGAAGAGAGCAACTTTCGGGTCATTCAATTTCAACAATGGCCTTCTTGGAGATAACCCAACAATCCTCTTGATCCAAATGCAACGAAGTTTGAAACAAACCGGATGCGCACCACCAATAAGGCGAACGCCCTAAGGTGATTACATATGAGTTTAGAGAAGGGGGTAGAATTGGCCGAATATTCCTTCCAGCACCCTGGCCAGTTCATTGCGTTCGTCGAGAAAGCCAACCAAAATGAACAATGGGTTGGAGGAAAAATAGATTTTATACAACTTCCTGAAGGTGCGGAGGGCGACAGGGGCCGGATCCCAGGATATACCGTTGAAAGTGAGAATTGTGAGTTGTATGAAGTCCGATTGCGACAGAGACTGACGATTACACAGTTGGGGCCCAGCATCGGTTTAAGATGGACAAAGAGTACAGCTTGTGGGGAGACCGCATATCGGTGGAGACCTTTGATGCTCGACTCAATCAGGAGTCAGAGAGACTCAAGCAGGCCCATTAGAGTCGAGTGATGAGATCATGAGAATGGACGTGGCTCTCACTTTGGGGATGTAATGTGGGGTTTCTTTGGCTATCGACATAATGTTTCATGATTGGGCGGGGGAGGTTCCTTGTACCTGATTGACGATATGACATACTTATACCTATATAAACTGCATACAGTGCTGTCTGAGTACAACTGTGTGTTCCAAGGTTTAGTAGTCTCGCATTCGACGCAGTTTATCAGCCACAGCGCGGGGCTTTTTAGAAGAAGTATGCAGATTGAATGCACTACCAGGGCATACGCAGTACTTTCTGCTGTACACATGTCAACGCAAAGTATAGTGGGTATCATGAGGCTATAGATAGAAATGCCTGATGCTCTGAAATCGGGTCTTCGGCTTTGTGCGACTATACCTCGCGGTCACACCTTTTCTGAGCGTGGCATACATATGACCCCGGTATACGCCCGGGATTGAGTTGGTACAAAAAGGTGACACAGCTGAAGAGTTTTGGCCGGTGTTGCCTATAAAACTCGCGAAGAATGATCAACTTTTTGTTATGCTGCGGACTACTCTGGAAATGTCTCTTACCTTTAAAGCGGTTGCCTGAACTTTAATCATGGCTGCGAATGAGCAACGATATTCCGCGGCACTCCTCCACCTGAGGATGTATGTAGGCCGTGCGAGATTGTCACCGTAGCAACTATGGCGACATATGACTTAACAATGCAAAGTCACACGCAATCGATTCTAAACTTGTATAGCCTCAGAGATGGTTCCATGTCACACCAAGGCTATGCAAAGGTGAAGACCATAGCTGAATAGTCCCACGCAACTTACTAAGAGGCAAGGAGACAGAGAAAACGACCGAAGACGATCGTAGCGAATCACGAGAGTCTTGCTGCTAAGTCTGGACAATGGCATCGCCGCTCCGATGCGCGGCCCGCGACACGTGAACAGCGCGGTACTGGAACGAGCTGATGTTCAAACACGTACCTGAGCTGCACATGGCACATGCAACAAACGTGTGGGGGTTTAAGGCCCCCGTCACGAACGTTTTCCATAGCCTCAGCAACCCCACGAGTTCCCAACGCACAGCCTGATCACAAGGCATCGCGAAAGCCATGAGTATCAACGGGTGTTTTGGGCGACGGACCGACACAGCGATTGCCGTGGGCGTTCGTTCAATACATAAAGCCAGGCTCTTCACGATATAAAAAGACACATTGATACTGGAGCTTTACATTCCCAGCCCTTCTTCACACTACTTCCGATCACATATTCTTGCATATCAGCACCAATACCCCTCTGATTCCCTTCTCTTCAAACCCTACATCACACTCAACACTCCGTAACTGCGAGAAGCATCAGCACTCACATGAAGGAATCTCCGCGCCAGGTGGAGAAGTCACTCCACCAGAGCGAACGCAAGCCTGGCGATACCTTTCCCGAACGGCATACCTATACCCCGCTTGACGTCGAAGACAATCGCAGCTACTTCAGAGAAGCCACACACAGTCCCCAGAACGCGGCACCCTCGCATGGATGCCGCGGGGCTTCCGGCCAACGCTACGGTAATGCAAACGACTTCAGCCAATCTTGTATGTCGAATACAGGATTCGACGCGGCCACTACCGCATCGCATAATCCACGTAGTGCCATGCAGACATCGCGATTCGTTCCCCACAGCGACAACAACCATTTGCGTGGCGTCAATAGCTACGTGAACCTGACCAGCCCGAGCTGTCGGAACGAAGAACTGATGAGGAAAGAACCCGCCCATACATATTCGATTCATCAGCGATCTATCTCCAGGGAAGGGCCTTCGCTCGCGCCTATGCCATCCACAGAACATATAAGCATGGCACCGCAGGCGGCAAGCCAGATTTACGAACCGTTCCGAGGTCTTTTCAATGACTCCGAGCACGCGAAGGAGTACCGACACACGAAGATGCGGTTCAACCGTGAGCCATGGAGGGATCCTGTCACCGACCCAACTATCGAGATGGTCGAACGTGATCGTAACCACAGCGTAGCGCGCATCTACAACGCGATGGTCTGCGGCGATCATGCTAGAGACAACCCCAAATCCACCGCGCGGAAGAGATGGATCGAAGAGCCACACTACCAGTCCGACTTGGTGGAAGCCTATGCCCACAAAGTGTTCGACTGCCTGCTCGAGCAGGTCAGGAAAGGATTCCGTGGGTGGCAGCAGAACGACTATGTCAACGACGAGCGGAAGGGCGAGGACGAAGATAAAGACATCGACTGTGCAGGCCGCTTAGACAACATCGTCACCGCACTTGCACAAGAGAAGTGCATCTGCGAGAACGTCATGTGCTCGGCGTGGCAGATCCGCATGTTTGTCAACGCACCCAAGGCATACTCCAAGCGCAAGGACCAGAACCGGGTGGGTAACAGCAAGAGGCCGAATGCGAAGGGCAGTGTAACTGATGACAATCCGCGGGCGTCGAAGAGGTCTCGTACCAGCGCTGCTCCACGGACGGGACAGGCGCGTGGTCACTCTTCACCAGCTTCCGAGTTGCCGTTGTCGCGTGGAAACACACCGCAGGAGTCTTCGGGACCCACGTGCTTGCCGTACTTTACTACGCCAGTGACACAGCGAATGACGGTCTTGAGCCCTCCATCTGCTTTTCTGGCACCTCAAGCCCCTGCTATGGGTCCTCCCCCTCGATCGTACCATACCACGCTCGGCCAACCTCACATCTCCTCATCCTCGCCTCCCATGCACTCTTCATTCGCACAAGCACAGACTTCCCGGGGACAGCCTATCTCGCCGAACACCTCAATTTCACCGACTCAGTATTCGCCCTTCCCACCTCCGTCGATGACACATAGCACATTCTCACCATCTGCCAGCCTCGACGACGTCAAGCCATCGATCAGGAACAAAGACCCCTTCTCCAGTCCTTGGGGACAGACTCTTCGGTCGGATGCAGCCTCTTCCAATGTGTTCGCACATTTGGATCTAGCCGGTAGCTCGGAGTTCCCGGGAGTTGAAGAGTGGCAGCATCATGTGGAGCCTTTCTCCCCACAGGACGGGTCGAGCAATGCCAATCTCTTTGCGCAACATCCTGAGATGGGCGTCTGCCTTGCTGATATGGAGCTCTTGCCAACGTTCACCCTGAGCGATGTTGCAGGCCAAAACGTCTTCGATCCCTGGCAACACCAGAATAGCGGGCACTGAATGTCCGGTAACCCCAGCAGCCGTCAAAACCAGCCCTCATACCATGGGTATGTACTATTCCGGATGGCGGGGTGACATATCTTTGCATCAACAGGTTCGCGGGCTACATCAACATGGAACACGCAAAGTAGGTGACCTAACGTCAATATAGGCTCCAGACCTGTTCAGTTTTTTTCTTGTATGAGGTGTGCTTGTCGACCACCTGGGTAGTGTGGCGACTGGCCTAGGTTGATTGTTTTTTAGTGTGCGCTGGCGTTGTATGAATTTGTGGTGTTGTCTGTAAATATTGTTATGTACATTTGTTGTTCGTAGTTGAGAGTCGTTCAGTAATGAAAATGGGGAGCTTCAGCGGCGTTGGAGTCAGGGTACAGACTTTGGTCTTGCGGACGTCATTCGCGGAGCTGTGTAAGCTCTATTCTTATGTTGTAATCTATCGTTAGCATGCAGTTTAGTGAATCGTAAATACCATAGCCTCAATGACGCCGCCATACAATGGTACATCTGGATAATGGATGTGGATGCGGGAGAGGTCGCGCGTTCGACAGGTACCTAGGTGGCCGACACGCCGGAGACGCGTCGCGTGTTTTCGGTGATGGTGACGTCATCGACGGCCCTCTTGCCCTGACTTCCCATCCTACTTCAGGACAAATCAGCAAAGTCTGATCATCATCCGCGAAGCTGCGAAGCTCAAACTCGTCACCGATACTAACAAAGATCAAACATTGAGTAAGAGACAAAATAGAGGGCACATACATCACAAGCAACACGTTTTGACAAGATTTACAGCGCCGCTCAAGGCGGGCAAATATGTGCATCATTGAATTGTATATTTACAACAGAATCGAACAGTAACTCTAACCATCTTCTCCCTCCAACACAAGAAGTTTCTTTTGTCGTACCTATCGTACAGAGCATCAGTCTAGGCGATTTAGACGCGGAAAGCACGGGGGTGAGCGCGCTGGGCAGCTACCATGCGGCGGACCTTGTCAGCGACACCGGTGCCAGCGTTGGCGCGGAGCCAGGTGATGAAGGTGTCCATGGTGAAGGACTCTGGGAGGCTGGAGTCGGAGCCAGAGTCGGAACCACCAGTGGCGACAGGGGTAGTGGCCTCCTCAGCGGCGGTAGGGGTGGGGGTGGCAGTGGCCTCAGGGACAGTGCTGGAGGGAGCAGCAGAGCTGGCAGCCGGGGCGGAAGAGGCAGGAGCGCTGGGCTTAGGAGAAGCTGAGGGAGCGGGGGAAGAGCCGGAGCCGGAGCCACCACCCATGGTGAAGTCAATGCAGGACTCGTAGGTCTGGTCGATCTTGGGAGCGTCCCAGAACCACTGAATGACACAGTCACCCTTGTTGGCACACTCCTTGCTGACATCGGGCATGGTGATATCGAACGAGGTCCAGTCAGGGTGCTGAGACATGGGGGAGGAGGTAAGGGCGTATTCATCCCAGCTGATGAGAGGCTCGCCGATGACCTTGTCGGTAGCGATGTTGACGATGGAAACGTTGGCAACACCGTCGTGAGGAGCACGGATCTCGACCTTCATGGGGATGACCTGACCGGCGGTGTACTCGAAGATCTCGCCAGCATCGGTGAATGGAACACCCTTGCACTGCCACGGGCGGCAGTCGGGGTGGTCACCCTGTCCGAGGTTCTGGAGAGCACCCTGGACGTTTCCGTAGTGGTCCGAAGACTGAGTGTTGAAGAACTGGTCACCACAGGCAGCCTTGAGGCCATCACCGGGCATACGAGGAGCAGGCTCGCTGATGAAGCCGTGGGCGGCGACGGAGGAGGCAAAGCCGGCAATGGCGGCGGCGACAGTGTAGGACTTCATCTTGATTGTTGTGGAGTTGTTTAAGAAGAGCGAGAGTTGCTGTAGAGATTGACGGAAGACTAGCTTTCGTGAACGAGTGTGATGAATGAATGTGGTGTTGAAAAGAACGTGAGGTCTCGGACCTAAGATGCACAAAGAAGCTGTGGTTGGAAGTGAAGAAACTGTTGTTTGATGGGAAGAAACCCAAGAGTACCAAGATACCTATATACGATACGGCGGCACGGCACTATTCCTCTTCACCACTGCATCTGTGGGCCGTGTCATTAAACATGCGAAACAAGTCACCGATGGATTGCAGCCTCGAACAGCGCTTACTGTGCCCCCGATTCAAACGACTCCCACGCCCTGCCTGTTCCTGAGAGGTCAGACGTGGCGTGGGTCTTGTTGTCATGCTTGAACCAGTTCATCCACCAGTCACAGGGAGCCATGTCGTGACTAAGATCGCAGGGTGCCGTTCGATACTGCAGGCCAAGCAAACATGTTCCCGCGACAGCGGGCACCATGCCTGTTGACAGGAGACCAACCGGTTCTCGTAGTTGTCTAACTCAAGACAGTAGCATAGACGAACCGTCTTACCTGGTCGAAGCGCCCATGATCCTGGGTTGAAACGGTCGCGAGCGTACGGTGGGTTTCAGGTGCTCCGAGGCTTAATGCATGCGAGTGTGGCGCTCCCCACCGACCTGGTCGGCCATATTGCAGGATCTTCAACTGCGTCATGCTTATCGATACCGCGCGCTACCTTTTTTGCGATGCATTGAACGCCATATGTAAATTTCGAAGAGTGTTCATCCTGCGTTTGGTGTAACCAGACGGACTGACAATGGCTTGATCGAAATGCTGCTTCGATGCGCGCTAGCCCTTCGGAAATTGGTGGAGCCGCTCAATCTCGCGTGCGACGATGCTGAGTCGCCTCAATCCTTCTTCAACACCACGTTTTCATCTCCGAGGTTATGAACAGCTCAGAAGGAAGAGATCGGTGTCCGGTCTAGGCGTCAACCCTGTGTGTTTGGTCGATGCGAAGTGCTCGCATGTATTGCATAACGGATCTGGGTCATTCCCATGCATCGTTCTTGCCTTTTCGCGGCGCCGGAGACCGAATCACTTTGCGGTGATTAAACGGCGCCACATTACCTTGAAAATGGCGTGTATCGCACCGTATGGCTGTGTAAGAGTACTGCTACGGATGGACCGGATGCCGTAAACAAGGCCGCTCGATCTAGTGTTTGATCCAGAGTGGCTCCTAATGCGAATGTCTCACACGCGGTCGGCCACATGCTACCCCTCTGTATACAGGGTACGGCTTCGATGGGATACTGGTTGCTCTTTGCAATTGCTTGTCTACTTGTACATTCCTCAAATATGTGGGGGGCGCCGTTGCCGAGAAAGCTTCGCGATATCTCATTATAGCCTTGGGCCTTCGAATATACCCTCAACTTCCATCCGAATGTGAGTAGTGTAACGATCATCGTGCGGGCTCGATTAGCTTCCGCAACTACCTCAGACCTGGACACCGACCGGTGATCATGGCGATGTCGAGGCATATGATCAACGTGGAGTGAGGGACCGGCAGCGTGAAAGAGACAACCCAGGGCAGCTGGTTGCAATGCGCATTGATTGGAATTGTTTGCTCGTTCGTGTTTCTGTGGATGATGTTCGGGTCAGAGATGCCCAGGCGCAGTTGGATGTTCAAGGCGCGCGCTAGCGGCTCGTTTCGGTGAAGCGCTTCCAAGGTTGCGCGTCATGGCCAGCCATCCAGCCACGGGCCAACCATTCCGCTGTCTCTTCGTCTTCTCCACCGGACGTGCAGGTTCATAAGAGATGTGCCATTGGTTCATTACCGTGCTAACTATGCCTCGCTGACCTGCCAGACAAGACGCTCCATACTCGCTTCTTTGCGTCTCAGCATGTCCATCGCCTTCTGCGCCCTCTCCAGCAGCGTTGCGCCCTCAACGATCCTTTGCTTTTGCGGCGTGACGACTCCATCCTTCAACAAAGTGGGCATGATATCGGGTTGAAGATGATATTTGAAGAACTCATTCTGTGGGTTGTTAGCTGCGTTGCTTTGACAAGAAACCAGCATGACTCACGTCTTGGTAGAAATGTGTTCGCACGCCTCTAACATCGATCCCATCATTCCACTCAGCCACTTTGCCCACATCCATCTCATACTCTGGGTCTTCGGTCTCGGTCGAATCGTGCACAACCACGGGTAGCAAAATGGCGACCTTGGAACCTCTCTTCGCGAGTTTAGCGATCGGTACGATGCTACCCTTCAGGCTGCCGATGCAGTCATAGACCAGTGGAACTCCACGGTCACCACCAGACTGCAGAATGGACTCGACGACATCTGGATTGTTGTAATCAAAGACCTGGTGCGCACCAAGGATGCGTAGCTTCTCGTGGTGTTTCTGTGACCCCGTCGCTAGGATGTTCTTGTAACCGTAGTAGCGCAGAATTTGGATGGCGAACTGACCCACTGACGAGGAGCCACCCCAGATCAATATCGCAGAGTCGGCGTCTTCAGGTACATAATTCTTGGGTTTCGGCCAGGGTGTTTCGAGGCCCAGATCTGTCGTGAGAGAGTGGAACACAGTTACAAAGTTATTAGGAAGCGTGACAGCCTCCATTGGAGTGAAGCCTTCAGGTAACTTCAACAGCTCAGCATTCGCCTGACAAATGAGCAAGATGGAGAGTAGCTTACCTTGGCCAGAAGCCATTCGTCTGTGGTACAGAATTCCTGGTAGGCCTTTTGGGCTTGGGTCTTCCAGGTAAAGCCGAACACTTTGTCTCTAACCCTCAGTCGCTTAGTTTCTGATCCCACTTCAACCACGGTACCAGCGACACTGTCACCAAGGACCTGAGGGTGCTTTACGAGTAAGGCCCCGTCGTTTTGGTGCAGATCGAGGGGCGTAGAAGCAGTCCACTCAACACGAAGGCGAACCTGCTTGGCTTCCGGAGGGGTAGTGGGAACTTGAATGATTTCAAGAGGCCCTTTCTTAGCCACTGTTGCAACGGCGGAGTGTGTAGACATGGTGAGCTGATAACAAGACCTGACTGTGAGCTGATCGCGAGAGACCGTTAAAAAGTATCAGGAAAATGGGAACGATTGTTCTACTCAGCGTATCTTCGCAGTCTCTTTCGCTACTTATACTCGCTCGAATCTCTCGTGCGCATACTGAGTATTACAAATGCTAGTCGTACTTACAAGCGCTAGCAAATGTTTCCAATCTAGGATTAGTTCCTTGCTTTGGCCAGATCGGACCAATCACGATTGAGAAGAAAGACACCAATCATACCCAGGCAGCAAATCCAAAATCGTGCTGTAACCCGAAGGTTTTGGTGGATGGGGTTTGCTGTTGTTGCTTTTGGTGACCCAAAGAAGTACGCTGCGCTGTTAGGTATACTCAGCAACCATGGTACGGAGACTAGCTTCCGCAACACGGACTTTGTCTTCGCGCGCAGCAGTTCATCAATTTCAAGTATTTAATCTGACCCTAATCTCCTACCATTCGAACAATCTCTTCACACTTTTCAACTCAAATTACCATACCAAAGATACTCAGCACACAAAAACCACCACCGCTAAACCAACCAGCGCCGTTGCAATAATCATGAAGTACTTCACGGAACATCTTCCCAGCGACAGCCACGCCTATCCTCTTCCTACTAGAAACCATAACGAAATCTTAACTGGGCTCCAAGGGACTGCGGGCACCTCTAATCGCTGCTCTCGCCAAACACTCACCAAAGAAAGCGATAACGCATACATCAGGCGCATCGAGGACATAACCGCCAGAACGGCATCCGAAACAAGCCACAAGCGCGAGTACGTAGAAAAGGCTATCTGGAAACGTCTGCGGAGATTAGCAAGGAAGACATCGCACTGTCTCCAAAAGGAGCCGAGTAGCGCTAAAACAGCGAAGAAGTCAAAGCAGAGTGGTCCAGCCTACGGCGAATACCCCACACCGTACGTTTTCTGGTAGACCTCAGAAGTTGATAATGTTACAGGCTTGGAGTTTCGTTCGTTACCGAGCGCCACATACTACAGCGCCTCATGTTTCCCTGGATATTCGCACTGTTCGGGCCTAGCGTGCGGTATTTCTCTACAGCCATAACGCAACTGGAAAGGAACTGGTGGATGCCGTCTTTGAGGGATATATTGGTCATGAACTGGAGAGCCCCTCTAGTTCCTGTCTACATTTTGGATTCGCGCCTTGCTTTCGTGTGTCCCTGTTTTCGCGTTCGAGGGACCAATTACCCGGGTATGGGCCCGCCATATCAGCACCTTTACGGCAGTCATGGATCCATTTACCATGATCTCGGCGAAGAAGAAGAGTCTGAAAACGACTGTGCTGTTGTATCATCGAGCGGCGACGGAATCTCCGCTCGCAGTCAGGTGCCCAGCCAGTTCCGCAACTCACACAAGTCATCACGAAGGGAAAGCAGAGCGGCGCGAGAACACCCTTACGCTGATCAAGCAACACAAACACCTCAGTCTTGTTCAAAGTCGTCACACATGTGTTCAGCACTCACGCCGTCAGCTTACTCAACATCGCCATCCGCCATCGCAACCTCCTTGAACACCACCCATGTCGAAAACCGCACCCTTTACAAAACTCAAAAGTCAGACTCGACTGAGCCATTCAGCCGACTGAATTCGTTAACTTCATGTACGCGAACCGACAGCGCCATCGAACTACACACCTTCATACCCGTGCATTCGTGTCGCTACCCACCCGGCATCGTAGTCATCAGAAGACTTGACGAACAAGGCAACGAAGTGGTCGAAGAGACGGATGTAGCGCACCAGAACACACGGCTTAATGGCCTGAAGCCCACACTAGTTGCAAGGGTCGAATGTACTGGTGTTGTGCAGACCACAAAAAGAGCTGGGTTGATAGAGAGGGCCTGGGAGGGGATAGCCGATGCACTGGCGAAGGATGATGGATAACATGCTGGACATCTGAAACACAGTATCAGAAACGCGTTTATTGTGTTGCTTTTAGGCTAGTAGTAGGGTCACTAGAGAGAATTTCACGATTGATGACTCCCCATCCACTCATCCTAACATCTCCCTACCCAACGTCTGTGTCCACTCAACCTGATGTGATTCCAACTCTGTGCACTTAGGTGTGCATCTCCAGCACAACTCCGTGTGGACCTCCGTCGGTAGCACCGTAGTTTAGCTCAAACCAGTAGAGCTCCAGGTCTCTCTTACTAGCCGGATGAATGACGAATTGCGCCACTTTGTTCATGGGACATTCAAACCATTTGCTGACTACCTCGGATGCGCCGTTTGCCGTCAGGACGTAGGAATCGTAGTGTTCAATGATGGCGGGTTTGTTGTTCCAGTTGGTGCGGCCATTGACGAGCGTGGGCTGGATACGAGAGATGCTGATAGCAAAAGGGGCTTCGCCCTTGAGGGTAAGGGGGGCGTTTTTGAAGGGGTCGACATTTATGAGGAATCGCAGGCGGCAGGTTTTGGCATTGTTTACGGGTACGTCGAAGTTGACTGCTGTCCACTGTTCGTCGCCTGTCTTGCTCTAGCCGATGTGTCAGTAGATGCCACGTTCATTACTCGGGTCTTGTAGACACATACGTTGTAGCTGGCGGTCGCATCATTCTGGGTGATGAAAGCAATGTCTGGTTGAGACTCCTTCAAGGGCAGGAGCAACTTCGGGAACTGTGTATTGATCAGGTCCGCAAAGGCCGGAAGGCCGAAGACAACGAGGAGAAGAGCGGAAATGTGCATTTTGATGTTGCGGAGACCGAATAATCGGTGGAAGCTACCGATGTGTGAAAGCTGGAGCTGTCGATGGTGAGGTAGTGATGCTTCCTGGTGATGCTCTTATATGTGACAAAGAAGTGCAGCGGTAGTGAGGTGGGACGCTTGGGCGACGATGAAGAAGCAATCATGACGGCTGTACCGGCCTTGCCAAAGTCCTTGTGCAAGGTAGGTGACTGCCTACCGGTAGAGAGTAAGTCGCATTGGCTGTGTCTGCGGAAGTCGCGGTCTGCACCACACCAAGCAGTGCCAAAACAAGATCCACGCAAGAAGGCAAGAGCGACTCCAGGACGAAGTAGCACAAGTACGCGATCAAATTTGCCCAACAAGGCAGCGACGGGTCCACTTTAGGCAGGAGTACGAAGTACGATGAAGCTGTCATTCGCGTGTCGACGAGGCACGTTGGTATTGGCAACCAAGATGTGGGTAGAATCGGGGCACCAGACGGGTAGCTACAGCAATATGTCGACCGCATTCGGTGCTTTGCTACAGATATCGTTTTGATCGAATTTCATTGCTTCTCCAGAAGCGCAAGCTGGTTTCTCTCACGTGGAAGATATTCATTAGCTTTTGACGACTGTTAGCAACTAGGCTCGATAAGCGGCATATCGGAATAAACTATGCAGATCTGTGACTTCATAAGCCGCTTCACTTAATGCATCATATTAATCTGTCCGACTTGAATCCGCATTCTATTAGTGACAGAGGATGACGATGACACACAAGCGCTTGATGTGGACATGGTTAGTAGTAATGCATCTCTTGATTCTAATCACATCGCTGTGTCACAGCGCATGATACCGCTCGAAGTGTATTGGCTCATGGTTTGAATATGATCAAACCAGAGTACTGCTTTCGAGGGGACAAGTATCGCCGGTGTCCACAGGCAGCGAGCGGGGGAGGCGTTACAAGACTACGATGAGATCTCAGCTGATAGGCTCCTCTGAAATAAGCCTGATAGTTCCTGGATACAGGCCAAGGCAACCCGCTGGCCTGATGTTGGTGGTGTAGCAGCCAGCAGCCATTGGTAGACCGCAGGTTTCGGTGCAAGGCTATCGCGAGGATGAAGTAAGAGAAACGCGTGAAATGTGGTAGGACAGTAACGTGGGACAAAGGTGAGGACGAAGGTGAAAAGACCCCAGAGGCAGGTAGTTGCTCATGTTGAAAGCCTCATGCTCCACAAGGTTCTTGAGAATGGGGTGGTCTGGGGATAACGCGGCTCTAGGGCCTTGGCAAGTGGGGCTGTCGTCATCGCTGTGGCTGCGGCACGTAAACCTCAGCATCGCATCACGAACTCATCCTACGCGTCATCGTCCAACCAACTCGATGTTCTCTTCGGGCCTGCTAGGATGGCTTTCTGCTGGCGAACGCGACCCGCCTTGAGGCTTGGTGCCGCCGGATACCCCTCGGTCCGTGCTCAAAGTATACCCTTCCGACGAAACCTCTACCTCGCGCCGCCATACCTACTGGACGACTATATACCTCGCTATCAGCTGCTCTCTTCAGTAGATGCCGCCAAGAAGCGATCTCTGGCGTATGCCCATCTGCGCGAATGCAATCTCTGCCCCCGACTGTGCGGTGTCAACCGTTACGAAACGACAGGCGTGTGTTTGATAGGAGCCGAAACTGTCAAAGTCAACACTATCGCTCCTCACTTTGGTGGTGAGTCAAAGCTGATAACACCCCGTCGTGAGCGTGCTGACACCGACCAGAAGAGCCCTGTTTCCAAGGGCACAATGGCAGCGGATCCGTCTTCTTCTCTGGGTGCAACATGAGATGCGTGTTTTGCCAGGTATGCTGCTTCGTCCTTGGTTGTAGCATACACACTAAAGCTGTGTTCAGAACCACGATATAGCCCACCAGCGAAACGGGTTCGACCTAACACCAGAACAACTCGCCGAGTGGTTCATGAAGCTGCAGGACGTGGGTCGGGTCCACAACATCAACCTCGTTACACCCGAGCATGTCGTACCTCAGGTCTGCTTATCGATTCTGCACGCGCGAGATCTCGGTCTGCACATACCCATCATCTACAACACGTCGTCGTTCGACTCGCTCGAGAGCATCCACTTGATGGATGGCCTGGTCGACATTTACCTCCCCGACTTCAAGGTGTGGCGTGACACGACCAGCCGTCGGTTACTCAAAGCAGACGGCTACACAAAGGTAGCTATGGAGAGCATCAAGGCCATGCATGAGCAGGTGGGCGACCTCTGCTTCACTCCTGATGGCATCGCCAAGAAAGGAGTGTTGGTGAGACACTTGGTCATGCCTGGTATGGAGGACGAAGGACGAGAGATTGTGAAGTGGCTTGCCGAGAACGTGAGCAAAGACATCATGGTGCATATTATGGAGCAGTATTTCCCAAGAGCTCACGTGGGGAAGGAGCGACGCGGCCGTGCAAGCCAGAACAATGTGGAGCCAGGCGGTGTTGAAGCCCCACCTTCAGCTAAAAAAGACGTGCGGTATAGTGACATCAATCGCGCAGTGGACTTGGACGAAGTAGCGTCGGTCAAAAAGGCAGCCGAGGAAGCTGGCCTGTGGAGGTTCGTGGAAGCATCGAGGCATGGCGGCTTCAACATCTGACGGAAGCCTGGTGCAACTTATAATGCGCAGGTTCGGAGAAGGTGTGACCGGGGTTCATCCGCTCGTGCCTGCTCTTTCCAGTCTGCGCTTGCTTTGAACATAACCCAGACACCTTCTCAGTAACCGAGCCAACAGTCACATCCATCCTTGGACACCACCACAAACAAAGATATTGGTTCGCGCATTACTACGATGCCGCCGCTCAACATGGTACACATCGCCGAAATTGAACGAATCGTCCACGATCTCAAGGTCGACCGAGATACCTGGCAGGCTGTAGCGCTCAAGTACAAAGCCGCCTTCGAAGCTCAGACATCCCGCCTACACGAGCTGCAAAATGTGTGCTTTGCTACGCAAGCTGAGCTGGAAAACGAGCGCGCTCAACAACAGCGTCTTCAGGCCATCACTGGCGAGCGCGATAATCACCGTCCTGCTACCTTCGACGGTGATGAAGACCTTCACGTCAATTTCACTTTTGGTACCGCTACTGTATATCCACCAGAAGAGACCGAGCAAACTCACCTGCGACGGCCCTCTGAAGATTGCACCCACCCCTTGTTTAAGCGCGCTCAAGAGTGTACTGCTCAGCGTAACTACGGCACTGCCCTGGTCGAGGTTGAGCGACTCCTGAAAGGCCCGCTCAGCTACAAAGCTCGCGCCGAAGGCTTACTTTTGAAGAGCAATATCCTAAGAGCTTCTGGGCCCGATGAGCTCCTCGATGCGCTAGCTACGTGTAGCGAAGCCGTAGAGCTCTGTGACCGTCTCTCTGAGCTTCAGAACTTCTTACCACGCATACAATACCAGCGTGGTCTATTGTACTATGAGCTACGTCAACTCCACCAAGCTCGAGAAGCCTTCAGCACCGTTGGCGACGACAAATACCTCTCCGCTAAAGCCAGGGAGTTTCGCAAGTCTTACGATGATGAGCTGGATCTGCTGCGTTGTACCAAGCGTCGGTCGGGCTTTGATGAAAACCGCACTATGGAAGGCTTGCTCGTTCAACTGGAAGATAAAGGCACAGAGGTAATTCCGCCTCGAGCCCCACAATCTGCAGCATACTAATTGTCTTAGAACAAACGCCGTCGAACAAGTGCGCAACTTAGGCAGCGCGCTGCCGCGAAAGCAAGACGAATGTCATTGCCTTACCGCTGGGTCGAATCAAAGAGCGACGGACATCATCGAGCATAATATCGCTATGTTAGACTAGACCGCCATTACAAGAAGCCTGGGCAGGTCTGCTGTCGGGAGATGCGTTTTAGGTACGACGCTTCTTTGTTCGCAAAGACATCGGTTCAGCCACTGTTTGAGAAACCGTGCCCTTCTTTGTAACAACGTCATCCGCTTTCGCGCAAGACTGCAGAAAACGAACAAAGAGCTGTTATGTAAAGCATGACGTTAAACACAGCGCGGCTGGAGACATCCCCAAGCACGAACATCCACAATCAGATAGTTTATAGTCCTATATCATCAGGAGACACGTTTCCCTGAGCTCACCAGAACCTTTGCTTTTCTAACCGTTTGAACGAGATGTTTGCAGACGTTGCACGACCACTAGAAGTCTCTGCCCTCAGCCATGAGTCCCCAGATAGCGTCGCAATTCCTACTAACGACGTTTGTGCATACATCAGCAATCTACCATATCCCCTAACACAAGACGAATCTTTCGACTGCGCATCGCCATCTTGTCAACCCTATCGAGAACGCGACCAGCCCATCAGCATCGAAAACACTTCGAATATCACGCCTGCATCCATCGTGATAGGCGTCCCCATCGAAGAAAAAGATAGCAACGACTTTAGGATAGCCATGGGTTTGATTCAATGCCAGACGTACCTCATGCGTTGCACGCTTTTGCAGTCAATCATCAACTCCATTGAGCGCACGCCTCGGGTACAACAGTCTGAAGCTGAGGCCGAGGCAATCGCACGGTTCTACTACAACAAAATCCACAAATTTGCTGTCGCAGCATACCAACTTGCCGAAGCTCGATCTAGCCGCGGCTTACTCGCACGTTCAGAATACTGGTGTGGACGCGGTTGCGGTGGTTTGCGCGATTGGGGTGCTGCTGTGAGCCACTTTGCGGCTGCCGTGAGGCTGGATGTGTCAGGTATATACCTCAAGAATAGGCCACGTCAGCAGAGTGGTCTACTGATATCTGAGACGGAAGATGTTGATATCCTACTCCAAAGCGTAACACAATGTTATAACGAATGGATTCAAAAAGACGAAGCGCACCAAGCCGTTGCTGACCAGGAAGCAAGTCCCAGTCCTAGCGAAGCTATCCGAAAAGAGGCACTGAAAGGGCCGCGTTGGAGACCACATCAAGATCGCATGGTCTATCTGGCAAAGCAGCAGTGTAGTCCAGAAAGGCGTTCTGACAGACAGTTTAGCCAACGTGGATCGAGTGAACACGCAGGTTTTTCCTTCAACGAGAAGGATATGGCAACTGCTGAAGAAAGGCTTAGTCTTAAGGATGATAAACAAGAGATTCGAAAGACACTCAACGCCAATGAGTGGTTCTACGTCCTACACGGCCGCCAGCTCACTAAGAAGCGTACGGATTGCACCGAGCATAGCAGCGCTAGTGATCGAGGCCACCAACACAACAAATCATCCCGGATTCCACCATCCGTCGGATCAACCCAGTCGGTCAGACACTCCTCACTTGGACCCTCTCACGATCTAAGCAACACAACAGACACCGCAGGCTATGAAAGCGGCGGTGCCACGCCATCGCTCGTCGGAAGTGGGGGGTCGCCTTCATCGGAGGGAGAGCGCGCGTTACCATCACCGCGAGCAGGGTATTCCCAAGGCCGTCCTAACGTGAAACTACCGGCTATAAGCATAAGCGCGATTCGGGAAGATGCTAGACTTGGTGAGGCTGTTCTTGGCTACCACTCACCGACAGACGTGGAGGTAGACGATACCCAGAACGGGACTGGGGGAATCACCTCTGGTGACAGTATGGGTCATATGGGTGGGGAGGGACTCGTCAGTAAGTCGGTTAGTGGAGGATCAGGCGAAGGTGACAATGTAACGATAGCCGCGGGTGCGCATTGGAGTTGAAGGATCGCGTTACATGTATGAAGTGCAAACGGCTGACTTATTCCAGACTGATTTGTCTGTGAGACTAGCGATTTGGGTCATATATGTAAGCAGTGGTTTCTGGTTTTGCGTTATCATCAATTCACATATCGCGCACTTGTAGTCTATTCGAAAAGCCTCGTTTGAACCTCGTTACATGTATTTTTTGACAACTCTTACGGTATGCTTCTCCCATGAGAAGGAAAGTTCTTCGCGCTAAGGAACTATCGGTGTGTACAATGCTTTTCTCTGTAGACCTCTGTCCGTTTGTCCTAATCATCAAAGGTTGCTCGCGCATCTATTATTCCTTTGTCCATCTACCTTCACATAATCTGTTCACTCTGCATGCGCCGTGGGGCCAGATCTTCGAAATACGCAGCTCAACATCGGAACTACAACGGCACACCTACATGTGCATCTTCTTTTCAACTTAAGTAACCATGCCTTACATGTCATTACCAGTATCGTCAGACTCCACCCCGCAAACCCTTGTCGATCTCTGGATGACTGAGAAGTACACATGCGTACCTGACAACGCATGGCGATGGACCGATACCGTTTTCTTCGTCCTCTTCATCCTCTTCTTCCTTTTCATCGTCGGCTTGGTTTGCCAAGATGCGGATCTAACAGTCCAGCTCGTGGAGCTCAAAGAAGGCACATGGGCAGAGCATACCAGAAGCATAGTCATGAGATACTTCGGTGAAGGTGTTCGCGAAGATTTGTTGCAAAAGTATATCAGAGATGGACTCGCAGCTAGTAAGAGGCGATTAAAGCGGGAGATCAAAGCTGAATTGATAGAGGCATACCGGAAACGACAGCGAAAAGATAGTACTGGAAACTCTCAACACGGCTCACGTCCCGCACCATGGTTCAATGAGGATGCCAGCGAGTATGCTGAACGCTGGGCGAGGTGGACGGAAGAAAAATGGCAGCATGGAATGCCGACGGTGAGTCTTTGGTTGAGAAGGCAATCGACAGGGGAAATCATCGAGATTTCGAGAGAAGAGGCTAGGGACATAGCTCAAGCTATTACCAGTAAGCAGTACACGAAATGCTGAACCTTCTTTATTCGAGTCGGAGTAGTTGACGAACTATAAAATGGAATTCGCGATATCGGAATGAGGCACATTCTGAATATATCCAAAGCGGATGACCAACTCGTTGTGATACCCGTCACCCACCCGTATACCGAGATATCCCACTTCTAAGGGACCGGACCAAGGCTGGGAACGCAAGGCGCATATGAAGAGTTCTCCAGTTGCAGGGGTCGAGTGGGGAGACTTGTGGTAGCTGGTTCGCTTCGTACCGTCTCAAGCCGCGATGCTGGCAGCTCACCTATGCTTGAGTGCCTTTGGATCTCGGTATTCAACTGTACAATCCCTCAGCGTAACCATGCCTATGCATTATAATGACAATATCATCGTGTTTTGATATAGCTCCCCAGGTAGCTTATGCAGTGAGAAGACATGGCTGTATGCATGGGGAGTGGGGCAGGTGCGCTAGCGAGCCGAGCCTGATGGACATGGTCGGCTCGTACAATGTACCCGGCATAGAGAGCGTTACTGGGGACCGATCAGGACTGTTTTCCCGCCTTGGCGCTGGGTAGAACTGGTATCTGTGTGAGTGATATGCATGCGCATGCATATCGGCTGGATTCATGCGAGGCGTTGGCCAATCGAAGGGTCAAATCGATCTCGTTAGATGATCCTTCCCTGGCTGGGCAAGACGCCTCGCGATCTCAATGTCTGGTATGGCCTATCTCCTTCACCCAGCAGCGGTTCTCCGAAGGATCTATTCGAGCTCAATTACCGTGTCTGTAAGGCGCATACCGAGCTGTCTTTGCTGGCCAAAGATGGATACAAGTGGGCCTAGCTGGATCCTGGGCAATGCAGGCTTACTTTAGAGAGTCATACAGGCTTTCCGAATCTGCAGCCTGTATTTATGCACCGGGTCTCCCGCTTTCTTTGTTCCTACAGGTTTCCCGTCCGAGGCGCCCACTACGCAGGAGTATCATTGCGGCAATTCCTCTTGTCTTGGAGAAGCCAAGTATAGATGTGGCTCATCTTGGCTCTGCTCTCCGCCGTCGTGCTGGGTCTCGTACCTGCAGCGAGTGCGGAGACATGTCAGGTATCTGATGGTAGCTTCGATTTTGTATGTATTCCAGGCTGTAATATTGTGCTCATAAGGAGCTCACCTGATGTCTAGGTCATCATCGGAGGCGGAACAGCCGGCCTTGCACTTGCCACGAGACTTAGCGATGCTCTGCCAAGCCATTGTATTCTGGTCATCGAAGCTGGACCGGATGGACGCGACGAGCAACGAATCTATGTCCCTGGACTGAGGGGTTCGACCTTTGGTTCCTCGTACGACTGGAGTCTTCCAACTGTGCCGCAGGCTGATGCAAACAATCGGACTATAGGCCATAACCGTGGCAAGGTCCTTGGTGGTACTTCAGCCCTAAACTTGCTCGTTTGGAATCGTGCTACTGTTAAGGAATACGATGCTTGGGAAGATCTCGGTAACCCAGGTTGGAATTGGCAGAACATGTTTCCAAGCATGCTGAAAGCAGAAAACTTCCAACGCCAGAACGGCTCCCCACAGTACGGCGTCGATGGTGTTGGGTATGGAGGCCCGATCCAAGTCGCTCTAACCGAGAATCCACCGCCCCAACTCCAAGCTTGTATTCCAACGCTGACCAATCTTGGCGTGCAAGAGAACCTCGAATCGTTGAATGGAACGAATCTTGGCGTCATGTATCAACCGGCTACATATCGCGTATCCAATCACACGCGCTCCTATTCCGTGGACTATCTTCCAGAAGCTGGTGACAACCTGATTTTCATGTTCAACACTACCGTCCAAAAGATACAACTCAACGAGGATGGGTCGAAGGCGACTGGCGTCATTCTCATGGACGGCACATTGGTTCAAGCCAGGAGTGAGGTAGTAGTTTCCGCCGGGAGCCTGCTTTCCCCAAAGATTTTGGAGCTTTCTGGGATAGGTCAGAAGTCCGTAATAGAAGATGCTGGTGTCGAACATATCGTTGATCTTCCCGGCGTCGGAGAGAACCTACAAGATCATCTCCGCATCCAGACGACGTATGAGCTCAAACCCGACATTCTCGGAGTGGATATCCTAAAGTACAACACGACGTTGGCGGCCAGTGAGTTGGATCTGTGGAAGCGCGGCCGTACTTCGCTCTACCAGTACGCTGGAAGCTGCTACGGCTTCGTGAAGTGGAAGCAGGCTCTTGATGACGATAGCAAGCTCATCCAGCTGGCAACGCAATCCGCGAACAAGTCGAACGCTGTCGACCGAAAGAAGCTTGAACTACTCACTGGTCCGGACTCCGAAGCACCAGATCTGGAGGTCGTCTTCAGTGACGGTTATATAGGAACGACCGGCTACCCCAAGAATGGCACGGCTGGCTACGGTAAGCAGTATGCAACGCTTCTGGCTGGAGTACAGCACCCATTCGCGAGGGGGTCAGTCCACATCAACGGATCCGATCCTGACAACAAGCCTCTTATTGATCCAAGGTACCTTGGTACACCTTATGATCTAGAGGCATTGATATCAGCCGCGAAGTACACACGAAAGATGGCCATGACCGCGCCCTTCAAAGATGTGTGGGTGTCCGAATACGATCCTGGTATGAGTACGGAAACAGACGCAGAGTGGGAAATGTACATCAGGAACAATGTCTTCACTTTTTACCACCCACTAGGAACGTGTGCCATGTTGCCGAAGAATGACGGTGGCGTGGTCGACCCTCAACTGAGGGTTTACGGCGTGGATAATCTCAGGGTGGTGGACGCGAGCGTCATCCCGGTGATCATCTCAGCGCATATCCAGACAGCAATTTACGGCATCGCAGAGAGAGCTGCAGAGATGATGGCGACTCGGTACCGCTGAGAAACGTGCTCAGTGCCGCGTTGGAGGCTGGAAAGCGAAGACCTAGCCCAAGTAAGGATAGCGTAACGCGTCGCCTGTCGTCATCAGGCTATTCAACCTCAACATTGTTTCTTCCCCATCATGCAGCCGTAGTCTTTCGTGCGTGACTACTTCCTGTACACGAATGTAAATTCGTCACAATACGACGCCTAGAGATCCGGTCGATTGCATTATTTCCCTTCCATTACGCGGAACGTAGTCACACCTAAACAAGTGCGCAGAAACGGTGTACCTCCTCTCATACCAAAGTACCTCAGTGATTCCTTCATCGCGGCTTTCCACGCCCAAAACAGTAAAAGCTCGGAAACGTGAGGTCATATGAATGCCCCAGTTGGTACCCTTGGTCATTCACAATCAAGTCTGGAAACCGAATAATCGTTAGGCTTCAACACAAGTCAAATGAACTAAAACGAACTCCGCCTACGCCAAGCTCCCCATTTTCCTCACCAGCTAGACTTGTCATCCCAATCCATTTTCAAGAAGAGTGGCTCCTTATCCCGGGTTTTGGTAGATATGTGGAACTCGGGTGTTGATGTGTCGAGTGCCTGATGGATTCCGGAATAGAATCCCACGGCGACGTAACAAGACCGTTGGGCGTCTACTTGCCGCACACCCGGCAGCAGTAAGGTATGCTATGCGCATAGCAGAATCCATGCTCTGAATATGCCGGCGGATAAACGTGGAGCCGCTGTACCGGTACAAGCACTTGTCGAGTCTGCGGAACTGGTGTTGTGTACGCTGGGAATTGGCCGTTCGCACGCATCTGGCCAAGCATACGCTGGTGGTTGTTCATTGCAGTGGTCAACATGGTGCTATACGCGCCCAACATTCCCTCGAGATCATCCGGCTGCATGTCCGCTGTGCGTAGCTGGAATCCATTGTCGGCTTCTTGATGCAGGGTACGCATATTACCGAGTTGACCGACCGCCTCCCTGCGTCTTGCGGCACGATAAGCTTCACGCTGCTCCAGAGCTTGAGTGCGGTCGGCGGTGTCGACAATCCTCTCCTTGAAGTCCTTGAGATCTGCGTTCTCTTGCTCCAACCTGGCAATGCGCTCTGCTTGTTCCTGCTGTACGGCTCGGAACTGCGCTGCAAAGCTCAGAGGCACAATCATTTGAGCACATCCTTGGCTTGGAGTTTGCGCGCATCCTGGAGCAGGTTGAGGAGAGAAGTCCGGGGTTGTCACCGTTGAAGGAGAACTTTCGGTGCACGCGCCAGTGGTATTCTGACGGTCGCCCATTGTCGCTTTCGGGTAGGGTGTAGCTTCTTACTGCTGCGGAATGCCAAAGTCGATCAGCGGTAGAATGAGAGGTACAGGAAACAGGCGGGCTGAGCAATCGAAAGCTGGCGAAGCTTTCAGTTTGCGCGCAATTAGCGATGGTTCGAGCAAGCGATTTGTCGCAAAAACACAGAAAGAGCCTAGTGGCGGTGAAGCACCGCAGTGAACGATGGAAGGTGTGCTGACAGGCGCTTATACTGTTTATGGAGCACGGCAAACGAATGGCCTTTTCGCTTCAATCCCGCGTTCGAAATTATGATCGCCCTTGGACCACTTTATACTCAAATGGGACAGGTGGGATATACTCACCATCTTCGCTCACTAGACGAGCGTGGACGAAACTAAGCACACGCCATACAAGTTCTCTTGTGGGGAACACTTAATAATAGTTCGGTCGAATGATGCATTCACCGCTTCTCAAACGGTTGCAATGGCACCATATCAGGCAAATAATCTTCTAGTAATTGGGTAGGACATGGCCAGTGACGTTTGGCAGGAGGACAATATTATTGGACTAGGCTAAGATTGAGGCATCTAGGAACGTATCCTACTCCAAGAAGAAGGTGGTCATACTCCTCGGCGGAATTGAAGCTATGAAGACTGACCCGTTGACCCCATACGTCCCGACCATCGTGTTGTTGTGTTCGTTGTCCGCCAAATACGCATTCGCGACACTCATCGTGAGATTAGAGCCCTTGATACTAACCTCAACTTGTCTTTCGTAGTGCGCCTCATTGATAACAGGGATAGCCAGCGTGCCATTCGTGTTCTCAAATGCGGTGACCTTGAGATTCTCAGCAGGACTGATAGCATCGATGCGAATAGAACCCGGACGTGCGAAACGAAAGTAGCCGGCGAAGGCCCAGAGACGGCGAGATACCTCGAAGGTGTTACCTCGAAGACGCACGAGAATGGCATCGCTGCCTGTTGTGTTTCCGGGATTGTCTTGCGCACACCACCAATGGAGATATCCAGAAGTGTCGCTGTACACGAAGGCTTGGTGCCTTTTGCCACAGTCAGTTGACTATATCAAGAGGGAGTGCATTGTCTATATGACTTACATGTAGATCGCCCACTGTAGACCTTCCGCCAGCTGGCCCGTCGTGTCCCAGGTAGTATTGAACGAACCGCTACCGTCTGACCACTCGGTCTCCATATTTGGCTGACCTTGAGTATTGAAAGGTCGCTCGGGCATGCTTTGGTAGTTGTGCCATGTCGCAATGTCGTACATCTTGCCGGCACCAGCTTGGTCCAGTTCATAAAGAAGATTGCGTTCTTGACGAGCACCAGTAGCGTCGCAGCAGGACACCTGCAAGTCTTCGCGGTATTTCTTGACTGTAGGATAGAGAACTTTAAGGAAGTCGGCAGCTTGGTATCCGTCGGAGTCCATGCTAGCGTAGGTGACGGGATTGAAATCGGGCTCGTTGTAAGCACCTATCAAGTTGACATTGATGCCCTTCTCTTCATACAATCTAACGTACTCCACAAGGTAGTCAGCATATGCTTGTCGCCAGTCGTGAGTGCAGTTGGTTCCGCGCACACCGCAGATCAGTCCGCCATTTTTGTCTGTGGCATCGGTTTTGAAGCAACCCGGGGCAGACCAAGCGTCTGCATAGATGAATAGATCTGGGTTGGCTGTTAAAGCTTGTTGGGTGAGCTTGAGCTGGCAGCTATCGGCGGTGGAATCGTTTGTTCCCAGACCTGAATAATTGGCCGGTGCTGATGGGGTTGTAGGACAACTGCCGAGAATACCGTCCGTAGGGCTCGAGCCGACGCGGTTGCGCAAGACGGAGAGACCCCCAAGATTCTCATTGAACAAGTAGTCGCTAACAAGCTGTTGGTTTGAAGGCGAGAGTCCTCGGGATCCGGTCTGATCGCAGGCGACACCAAAGGCTCCCGAGCAGCCACCCCCAATCATCGTTTGATGTCGAACAGTAGCGTCAACGGTGACCTTAACAGGAGGCTCATTTTGTGTATATGCCCACGGCACGGGGACATACTGAGCGCAAGCTCCGCTGGCATAGAGTAGTGGCAGTAGGAATGTCGTCGCCATCGTCGCTTCGTTCGAACGGCTTGGCCAATAAACGCCTGATCGATGCCTTTTAGGCAGCTTCTTTTATACATCGTGTCTCATCGGCCATTTCAAGCCTCCTAATACAAATCGAGACAATCTTGTACGCGTTGTTATTGATGACGACGCAATGATCATGATACACTTCATTTATCCAACCGGTACGAGCTAGGGTAAATCGCTGGGAACATCGTAGTCTCCAGCCCGTGAGTCTTACGGAGTGACGTGAGAAACCCTCGGGTCTCGGACGTAAGCCTTCGAATAGGACCATGCGCTAGGCCAGCATGTCGGAGAAGGCGGGGCTGAAGTCAAGCTTTGCGGGATGGTTAGCGGGGAAAGGCTTGGAGATAAGCGTAGATCGGCTGAACCATCGACGCGTAGCGATATATTAGCCGGTCGACTTCTACCAGGAACTCGGTACTATCGAACGACCGGACTGCGCGGATGCGCGACGGATATTTGCACGCGGCAGCATATGAAATGTATTAAAGCATATTCTTCGTTGGTACGCCACCAAGACCAGGATCCTGGGACGGCTTGACGTTCGAAGCCATGTCCAGAAGATGTCTCTTGTCTCCATCACCTTGTTGATGCTTGACAGCTCCTCATACCCATTGCACTAAGAGCTTGTCTGCAGCTCATCTTTGCATTTCTCAGTGTACCCCACACTGTCTTATAACTTGGATTTGATGGGCGCAAATGTGCTTCCCTGTCCTCCGCCGAGGGCTTCAACAAGCTCATCGACCTTCTGCAGCACCCATGTACATCCTTCATCACTGACCAGCCACTTGATTCCCTCCTCTTCTCCGGCTTCGGGCTCTTGTTTCCAGGTGCCATCTTCCCAAGCCTTCCTCAGCCCAAAGACATGACTGAGCACCTGTGGTCCCACTCCTTGTTGTGCCCTTAAACATGTGATAGCAATCAGGCTGGTTGTCATGCGCCCCACAGTAGCTCCTTCCTTGCGGGGAGGGTCTGTGAACAGGCCGCCGTATTCGCTATTGATAATGAAGACGGGCAGGTCTGGATGCGCGTCGCCGAGCTTGTGTTCGAGTTTGGTTTCTAATGGGCGGTAGATGGCATCCCAGAGGGCGCGGCCGCGTTTGTTGATGTGCTCGATGTTGGAGGGATCTGGGAAGCGCGTAGGTTTGGTGTTTAGCTTGGAAGCGATGGACGAAGGCAGTTCGGCGCGGAAGGCGTTGAGCATGTTGATTGTGCGTGGGATCTGAACACTGTCTTAGTACACGGCGCTGTCGCTCTTGTGAAATTGGCTGCTTACACCATTGAAGCCTATGCACTTGAGGCCAATTTCGCGCATGAATTCCGCTGTCGCAACGCCTTCGTCCTCCGGTCTGGATGCAGTGGAGCTGTTGTATAGGGCGACCATGGACTCGGGCGAGTTCATCGTCATGGTCGCGGCCGTGGAAATGCCCAGCCATGATGGCCGACCCAGCTTGCGCTCCGTGGCCTCTTGTTCTATTCGTTTGTATACAGCCTGGATCCTCGGTGGTGCTGGTACGGGACCTGGGCGCGAGTGCGCGGCGTTGATGAGCGACTTGAGCGTCGGCGATAGCTTCGACATGGTGTACGGATGGCCAATGACACTAGGACAAAAGATGGTGCGCGAAGATTACGAGACGAAGAACAAATGCTTTGCGAACATCAATGGGTGTCAAGGTGCAGTGCGCCGTTTTGAGGCTCAGAGTATTTAACGTCGACGAACATGCGATGACGCGAGGCCGACGCCGTTCCGAGGCTCGGCACTTCTTCAAGTCCCGCGCAAGTTGCGCGCCAAGCGATGCCCTAGAACCCATACTGGCCGTACCTGGGGACGTTCAGAAAGACCACAAGTGAACCTTGAAAGATGTAAAAGACGGGATGAAACTTCTGAAAAGAGTGGACAGTAAACACGCATGTCGTGAAGAATGCGAAATTTTCGCAATTGCAGTAGTAGGTATATCACAAAGCAGCTAGTTATGTTTGCATGGAGTAAAGCAAAGTTCCATGGCCCGAGTGCAAATACTCCAGATACTGACAGTCAAACAAACAACCAACCCTCTTCCACATTAGTTACCTCCGCCAGAGATGGTAGCATCGAACGGCTCAGCAATAGAGACCTGGCCAGCAGCCGCGGTATCCTGGTCTATGTTGTTTTGGAGCTTCGTCATTTCCTCCGCAAGCTGATCAGCATTGTCGTCTCCTTGAGCTGCCTGGGCCTGAAGCTTGATAACAGTAGCCATGAGCTTCAAGACTTTGTTCTTGATCTTTCCATTCTGGCTCGGTATTAGTCGTGTCGTTCAGTCTGCACAACAGAGCACATACCTGGATCTGATCGGCTTCGTCACCGGTAGCAGCCTCTACTGCTGGGTTGAAGGCCTCCTTCTCCGCATCGTTGGCGACTTGGTTGACCTCATTGAGGAAAGTGAGGTCCGCTTGGTCAATGTTTCCTGGGTTCTGCAAGTCGAGTGCTGAGAAGACTGCGGCGGCTTCCGCCTGCGCATTTCCAGCCTGGCCACCCGAGATCGAGATGTCGTTGTAAGTCGTGTCGGCAAGAACTGGGCCGCTTTGGCGGGCAACCACTGCGCGCTTGTTGGAGGTAGGTGCGGCGACAGAGAACGCAGCGAGCGAAAGGATGGCGAAAGATTGGAAGTACATGGTGAATATGTATGTATGGATTATTCGAGAGAGTAAAAGTAATGGTAGGTACAGCGCAGCTGTTACGGCAAAAAAGGGTATGAGAATTGAATCTACAGCGTCAAGCTGGATGTTTTAAGATGATAGAAGATGGTTGAAAACGCTTGATTATAGTAAGAAACTTAAGGCGCGGGTTAGCAATGCGTTCTTATACAAGTGCTCTACGCGGCACTGCTGTAGGCCAGACACACCCAAAGCAACATCTCCGATCCTGAGGTTTCGTTCATGCCGAGCTGCTCCGCCTGAGCGCCTGTCCAGGCGCCATCTCGTACACAATGTCGGGAGTGGGGCGCTATGCGCCGACCACAAAAGCACATTGACTCAGCAACTGCTGGAATGTTCCCACGAGTAGGATAATTCGGCCTGAATCTGCAAACGTTACACGTCGCCAAACGATGGATCGCGCAACCCTGCAGGGCCTGAGCGAAATGTCGTTCCTGAACGGCGAGGCTGTGAAACCCTCTGGACGTCAGAACCTGCGACGGAGGCACCACCGCGCATGAGCTTGGCAAAAGCTTAGCATGTACAGTACCTGTCACATTGCCAGAGGGAGTTTGGCGTCCGCGATTTAACAGCAAAGAACGGCGCTCAGAGAAGCAATGATTACTTATGTTGGTGTTTGAGTATGGTCCGTGTTTCGGGCAGGAACGGTTGGTGTGGAGCATTGCTCCCAGCTCCATGGCTTCCGCCATTAGCGTGATTTATTGATTACTTAACTGTGGCTAGAGGAACGCGAGGTTTATGCTCCACCATCGCGTCCGCTGAGCATAGCCCCCCTCTTGCGCATACGTCGCTCTGTCATCCTCTTGCTGTAGCCCGTCACATTTACACTAGAACCAGCACTGAACAGGCTCTCAGCCTTGCCATAAACTGCCTCAGTGTATTCAATGCTCGGCGCTGAGAAATCCATAGTGAAGACACTCACACTAACACCACCTCCAGCCACGACCCACGTCTCGCCCGGCAGACTGGTATCGCCGTTGTACGCGGCATTGATTCCAGCAGCCAAAGGATCGATGTTATCCCACGTGAACAGGCCGCTTGTCTCGTTGTAGACTGCCACGTCTGTGTTGGCCTCGCCTGTGAGCCTGGTTTTAATCACCGGGGGCATGGTGCTGTTAACAAGATCGGGAATGTTGACGTTGACACCATAGCCCAGAGGCAGTACCTTCTGTCCCTCCGGTGTATTCTTGATGAACTCGTTCACCACCTCGAAGGAGACCTTGGCAGCCAATACGGCGGGGTCCGAGGCGCTTGTTACGTTGAAGTAAGGCACCGCCTTATTGCTTGCGCTGGTGGCGATCCCGGGTATGGATCGCGATACAGCAGCGAAAGTTGCGCCTACGGTTCCACTCAGACCCATCACGAAGGGACCGAGATTTGTGCCGTAGTTCGGTCCAGCAACAAAGAGATCGGCTGTCTGATGCCAGTCGGGGTAGTAACGCGGAAGCACGTAGTCGAGCGCGACGAAGGTACATGCCGCAGGTGTGCCGTCATAGTACCAGATGTTCTCGTCATTTGGATCTCGGCCAACCGCTGGTGCACCGGCAGGGATGATATCGTACTGGGACGCAACCGTGAGGTTTGCGGACTCTGCCCAGATGACGGTGCTGCCCTTGCCGGACTGTTGCTGCGCTGGCGCGACGATGAGCACTTGATGACGGATTAGCATTGAGTACTTCATGCCACAGAATATGGAAATCTCTACCCTCATGGCCAGCATCAACCAGCAACTTGTATAGTTCTCTCAAATTTCCACTGCCAAATCCATCATCATTGCCCATGAGGATCTTGAGTGCATCGGAGGATGAGGCAAGGCCGAGCGCTACCGCGAGAGCGGCATTTAGTGGAAAGCGCATGTCGTACGATTGGCTGCAGAATTGATGCGTAAATTCGGAAGGTCGCAGAAGCAGCGTAACAGGCTTCCTAGCGTCTCCTCAACTATTGAGAAGCAACAGCTTATATACGCCCTTACAGACCTAATCCGGTTGCACCGGTACCATAATCCGCCTACGCCGCATATCCAGAAACTGTACCGAATCTGGCAAGCATTTGGGCACCTTGATGATAGTCGCTGCAGGAACAGGAACCGAATCCATGAGCGTGGAACCTCCGATATCGTGTCGAGCTCTCACCTGAGTTCGACGCGCGCTCTGATTCGGCGTCGATAAAGATACGCAGAACGCCTCACAGTCGACTAAGACGCGTTGGGAAGGAGGTATGCACGTGTCGGGATAAGATGCCAGGATGCATCGGAGTACGGCGATCGCGAAGTGCACTTAGCATACCCATGGCGAAGCAATAATGGGGAAATACTTTGCAAGACTTCTCCAGCGTTGATAAGGAATGATCAGCGATGCTGTCTGTGCAGAGGCGGAACCGAGGCTTGTGTACTACAGTAACGCGTCACCACACCCAAGAAATGCTTTGCATAACGAACTCGCGACGGCTACATCACTTTCAGACACAACTTGGTAACATGTAAACCCGGCGTGTCTACTTCAAAATGTTGTATTCAGGGAAGGAAGCCTCTACATGAAAAGGTTGATGACGCCCGATCGGTCGGCTGAAATAATCATGCCGTATGGCTGCTCAATCAAGGCCACGTCCAGTATACGATCAACATGACCCTTAAGCAAGTACTGCTGCTGCAACGCGATGGCCCCTGATCTTGATGATTTCCCTGGTACTTTTTTTGCTGAGGTACTTGCCCGGCTGTCCCTTGCATTACTTACCTGACTGGCCGGCTGCTGTAATCTCTCCGCAATGACGATGGTATCCGGACTTGGTTGCGATGCGGTATATGCTGGTTTACCTTCATCAGGCTCTAGGCCACTCACGACTGTCGATGATTCTGGACGATTGGTGTCCCAGTACCGGACTTTCCAGTCTGGCCCTGCTGTGAGAAGGAATGTGTGTTTCGACTCGCCTTTCTCGTCCGTTGCCTGTGTGTATATGGCTAGTGCACGAACGCCGCGGTCCGCTGTCGAGCTAGCCGTCGGTTCGACGCTGGTTGCAAAACGGCCAAGCATGCCGCCAGCTTTCTCTTCGTCCAGGTCGATGAGGTTGGTGCTCCTGTTTCCAGCATCTTTGCATGTTCCTGTACGATAGACTTCTTTGCAGATGTGCTTCTCAAAGTCCCACACAGTGACCTCGCCTTGATCGCTGCCACCACCGATGTATAATCGAGTCTTCTTCAACTTGGGGAGGAAGACCTGACAGAGGCGGTGTATTGGCGATGCGCCGTGGAATACCCAAGCCTTAAGACGAAGCTTGAACCGAAGATCCCAGAGATCGAGGACACCATGGGAGGTTCCTAGCAGCAGCCAATGCGCTCTCTTATCAACGCAGAAGCATGTAGGGGTGCCGTGGTCCAAAGGATTGTTAAGAGTGTACAACAGCTCCATCGTCCTCAGATCCAGCGCAATGACTTTTGAGGTATCAGTAGCTAACAGGAGGACCGATCTGTTGTCTCCGTTGTAGTGTTCCGACCATACTGCACAGTCGCCCTTAGGGAGTTGATATTCACGAAGAAGTCGAGGTCGCCCGAACTTGGCATTCCCGTCATGGCTCTGTATGTAGTCTACGCGCACCACATGTACGCTACCATCATCACCCGTTGCAACGAACGAGTAAGTCTGCTCCACAAAAACCAGACTCGTGACCTTCACATCCTCACCCAGCCTGTAAGTCTGTCGTGATCTCCGGGTAATGTTCCGCTCGAGACGTGATGTATCCCAAATCTTGACGGTCCCGTCATCTGACCCACTGATGAAGAAAGCTTGGTCAGGCGAGACCAGGATGCGCGTTACTGCAGCGGTATGCTCGCCAAAGCTCGCCACTAAGGTGCCTTCCGGTCTCCACGGTATGCCGGCTGGCGACTGATGAGCGTCTTTATACCGGATGGGCTGTCGCCTAATTGGAGGTTGTATGCGAGGGCCAAACTCGATCTCGTCTGTGGGGAAGCGCTCAAGGAGCATTGAATCTAGAAGCTTGAGGATTGCCGGATCGTTGCCTGTATAGTTGTGTGCGTTCCTGAATCGAACTCTCATTGGACTTCGGTCGTATCGTTCTGTAGCGAGAGGGGAGTTGGGAGGTCGCGATCGAGAAGAGTCTCGAACATGAGTACCGTCGACCTTCCCGAACGCGTTGGCGGATGTAGTACCAATCTCAGCCAAGGCTTTGTTTTCTCCCCTGCCGAGTAGTCCCAACGCGCTGCTGCGATGACGAAGGCTGCTGGATAAGTCTGTTGAGCCGACGGAGTTTGATGGGGAAAGAGATGGTTGCGTGATCTGCAATGACCTTCTCCGCATATCTGCCTCAGAAGGTGGTGAGCCTAGGCCGGAGTGTACCTCGTTAGATGAAGACATTTTCGATCGCGATGGGATCGTGATACCCCTCTCTTCGCGTATCAGTCGCCCGGTTTGGCTTTCAAAATGCTCGGCTAGCCCGTTGGCTTCCGTAGTTGACGCATCCAGCAGAGCGTCCTTGATCGTTCGAGGTTGAATGTGCTCCTCTGGAGCGTTGGGTTTCCTAGTTTGCTCCATAACCTGACGGACGTCTTCATCAAAGAGCACTGTCTGAGCCTTGATACCAAGGTCATTCAGTACAACAACGCTGTTGAATTTAGTGGTCGGGGTGGCGAGACCATCAGAGCGTCGGCGATAGCTTACTCTCCAGATGAACTCCCGCAGGGCAACAAGCTTGAAATCATCTTCTGCTGTCATACCTGCGTTGCGGAGTTTTCGTAACCATAGGTCGTCCTCTTCGTTCTTTGGTAGCCGCTGTAGTATCTTCTGGTCTAGTTCGCGCCCGGAAATTGCGGGTAGACTATCCTCTGATGACCCGAACGTGAAGGTCTGCTGCTGCCTGGCTGCAACCCAAAATTGACCCTTCTGAGCCTGTAGCGCCCAATTCGAGGTCATGTCTAAGAGCAACCGTGACATTGGTGGCTTTAACGACTCCAAAACCCGTACTTCAGAGAACTCTGAGGGTATGACCTTAAGGTAAGGTCGAATAAGGTTGACCAGAATGCTGTGCATATCGGCGACTGAAAGATAT